AAAAAACTGAGAACGTATATTGAATTGCTACTTAGACCTGTCCTTTGTTTACTCACAAAATTTAATGAAATAGAAAATACTCTCATACTTGCGACCAAATTATGCTTAATTGTTTTTAAAGCCTGATATAATAATTCTAAGTTTTTTGTTCTTTAATTTGTGGCATTTAAGTTTGAGTAGAGGAAGTTACTTCTTCAAGAAGAAGTCACACTGATTTAAATTAAAAAAAAAAATCTCGTTAAACTTGATAATATTGTCTGTAAAATGAACTACGATAAAGAAAAAAAATAAAACATTGACAAAAATGGCGGCGTTTTTTTTAAAAAAAGTCGAGTTTTAAGCAAATTTTGGTCGTTTTGGACTGCCAAAATTCGATTTTTGATCCGATCAAAAATCGATAGTTCATTTTACGGAGAACTAATATGGACATGTAAAAAAAAAATTGTGTGAAACTAGTGTGAAATTTTCAAAAAACCGAATTTTCAATTTTTCCATATTTCGTTATATCTTTAAAAATAACATACTAAAATTTTAAATCGATATCTTAAATAGTTTTTGAGTCACAGCCATTTGAAGCGTATATATATAGTATATAGTATAACGATCATTTAATCTTTAAACGCGTTTTTCTCGAAACAGCATTTTCCGAATTTGCTGCAGCGATTACTCAAAAACAAATGATCCGATCACTATCAAATTTTTTTTACATGTTCTATATATAGTTCTCCGTAAAATGAACTATCGATTTTTTGATCGGATCAAAAATCGAATTTTGGCAGTCCAAAAACGACCAAAGTTTTGGGTAAAACTCGACTTTTTTTAAAAAAACGCCATCATTTTGTCAATTTTTGATTTTTTTCTTCATCGTAGTTCATTTTACAGACAATATTATCGAGTTTGACAAGATATTTTTTTTTAATTTTCATCCACGTAGAAGGCCGGAATTACTGCAGCAGTGAAGGGTCTTTTTTGTCGCGCCGTTGGAGATCGACGATAACTTAAAAAATATTTAATTTTTTGTTTCTAAATTTTACTATGTATTCTTAAAACTTGTATAAATATATTCCTGAAATTTTGAAATGATTGATAAAGTAGTTTTTTTAATATAAATTCCCAAAAATCGCCTTTTTTTAGGCGGTTACACTATTTGTGCCCCTTAATATTAGGTTGTCAAATATCTCCCTTCCGCTTTTTTGCTCTTGGTTTATAATATACAAAAGGCGGAAGGGAGATATTTGACACCTATTATATACAATGGTAAACAAAATCTAAATTATTATATACAAAACCTTTCTTTCTGGGAACCATTGCAGACTGATAAAACGCTTTCATTTATCTTTTATATTGGCTATATTTGTCATTTTTTATTTATACAGTGAAAACCGACTTTTTTCACTAAAAACCGGTTTTCAAATTTCATAATTTTCGCCAAAAAAACGGTTTTTGAAAACCGACAAACCCTAAAGCGAAAACAATGAAAGGTGCAAAGAATAGTTCATAAAATCAACTAGTTTATTAAAATGGATAAATTAATAATTAAATTCAAGTTACTTCTTCAAGAAGGAGTCACACTGATTTAAATTAAGGGGCACAACTAGTGTGAAATTTTCAAAATAACGAATTTTCAATTTTTCCATATTTCGATAGGTTATATTAGATTGTCAAATATCTCCCTTCCGCTTTTTTGCTCTTGGTTTATAATACAAAAAGGCGGAAGTGAGATATTTGCCAACCTAATATTTTTATATACAATTTTTAGTATTTTTTCCCAAGTATTTTTTTCCACTTTGGATAAAACTATAATTTATTTCTAGGCTAAAATTAACACAATAACTGCCACCAGTGTGTCATTTGATATAATGGGTCCTGGTGACAATGATGGTATGCCAATTTTGGGATATGTTTGCCAATACAAACCAGAAAGAGAATTGGATTGGAGAGGTGCAAGGAATGCTACATGGAGTGCTGAATCTAGTTATACGATAGACGGTTTGGTGCCAGAAACTATTTATCATTTTAGATTTGCTGCCACCAATGCTGTTGGCCCTGGACCTTATAGCAATAATATTGCACAGGCTACACCTAGGAGATCGCCGCCAGAAGAACCAAAGTAAGGGAAAAAACTTTTGATTCCTAATCAACTTTTAGATACAAGAGGACAAGATTTGTGTCCAATTTTTACCAATATTTTTTGTATCCTTTCAGACTTTTAGTTGGTGTCTCAAACGAAGTCGATGGAGGAATTGTAACATCGCCATACGCCGATCATTATGAATTAAGGTGGAAGATTCCTGCAGACAACGGCGAACCAATCGACTACTATCAATTGAGATACTGCCCAGTAAGTCGCCAAATCAATTTCAAATCTTATATGAACTGATTTTTAATTAAAAACTTTAAATAACTGAGCAAATAGTGCACTCTCGAATATACAATTCGAGTTTTTGAGAGAACGGAGTATCGGATTTGAATGATCTAAAAAACTTTCTGCTTGCATTGATAAAACAATTTCTTTTGAGGATAAAAAAATATTACATCTTTTTTTATTTTTATAAAATATTTTTGTAATTTTGGATTAAAAATTCAAACTAGTGGGGTGTATGGCATTGTGCCTTAAGGCAAATTGCTGGAACTTCCCGTACCGTAACGAAATGTTTTCAAATAGAATATCATTAATATTGTAACATTATCTAATATTTATAAGAATTATATAATGAATTTCAAAGTTAAAATCATTTGTTAAAAGTATATTAGAACTGAGTTAAAAATAAAATCTGAATTATTTTCGATATACCAAAAAACTAAAAAAAAATGCAAAAATTTGTTTTTCCAAAATCAATATATTTGAAAACAAGCTGAAAGTTCTTTGAATCATTTAAATTGGACGCTTAGGACTCTCAAAAACTGCTATTTTTTGCACATTTAGCTCTGTATCTTCGAAATGGCTGGGCCTGCCAATACCAAAAATTAATAAACACTTCTCCCATTCATTACTAATTGAATGTTTTTAGATCATTCAAATCGGATGCTCCGTTCTCTCAAAAACTCGATTTATATTTTTATGCACTCTTTGCTTCGTATTTCCGTAACGACTGGACCTGCCTTTGCCAAAAACTAATCAGCACATCTCCCTATCAATAGGAATCGAATGTTTTTTGAACCATTCAAATCGGTTGGTCCGTGCGCCCGAAAACGTGGACGAAAAATTGTATCCATTCATACATACACACACACACACATCCATTTTTTCTGAGGTATGCCAAAATGTTCAGAAACCTTCAAAACGTCGAGAAATGTAAAAAATTTTCAATTTTGATTTTTGGCCCATTACAATAACTTACCCTACGGGAAGTTAAAAATTAGCCAAGCTAAGCACAGTCTAAGCGCCACTCTGGTGCAAATGTTTACCCAAGTGCGTTTAGACTGTTTATATTGGAGCACTTTTTCAATTTTGTGAAAACTATGAAAAATGTGAAAATGCCGCCAAGCTAAGAACAGTATAAGTGTAAGTGTCGCACAGAATTATTTGCAAATGCGTTTAGACTGTGACTATACGGGAGCACTTTTTCAATTTTGGGTTCAGATATAACAAGCTAGCAAAAATATGAATGAAACAATTACAGTATTAGTAATAATATATTTGAAAACGTTTCAAATTTCTCGAATATTTCATTACGGTACGGGAAGTTCCAGCAATTTGCCTTAAGGCACGATGCCATACACTCCACTAGTTGATTTCTCAATCAATTTCAAATCTAGATCAATATTTCATCTATATTTTTTCCCCCAGGTTCAGAGACAAAACGGAGCTTGGGCCGAGCTAGACTCCTTGTGCAACGCCAGAGAACTTCGAGCCTTCGAGACAACGGCCCACGAACTCAACGACCTTTTGGCAGATTCTCACTACAAAGTGGAATTAAGGGCTCATAACGCCCTTGGAGATTCACCACCGGCACAAATTCTGCTGAAGACTGCTCGAGGTGAGTTCGATGGGGAGGATTTTTATTCGAATAGCAATAATGATAGCGATAGGGTTAAATATAAGAACGCTGGCAGATTGTTTTATAGGGGAAGTGCTGGTTTGGTTGAGATTTCTGTGTGGTTGATTGGATTGGGAGCTGGTGTGATTGTGGTGGATAATTGGATGTAAAAAAAATTACTAGCTATTTTTCTTGTTGTGCCCTGATCTACTTTTACCAAATTTATGATAAAACTATGACAAGTGCTAATAAAAATGCAGATTTTGGTGTGTTTGTGGTGCATATGAATTGTACATCTATTGGTGCACTGTTTTCTAAAAATAATTTGTTAGAACCGCGATTTATCACATAATTTCCTTGATGTGCACTAGGGTTTATACAAAAACCGACATTTTAGAAAACCGGTTTTCGAATTTTAATTTTACTAATAAACCGGTTTTAACCGGTTTTCGAATTTTATATAAAAAATAAATTTTTGCCCGAATATTTTGTAATTTATCCGCAAATTTAGTGTAATTTAGAGCAGTATTTCGCTGAATTTATTTATTGTTCAATTTTATAGATAGTAAACAAAATTATTTTAATTTTAATTAGTAGAACTAAAAAATAATAGTTTATCTTGATTAAATAACTTTGAAAAATAATTATTCGTTATTAATGTATAATTTTCACATATAAGAATGAAAATATTTTTATGATAGTGAAAGGAAAGTTTTCGAATAAATAAAAATAATACATTTTGAAATAAAAAACATTCATTAAATTAAAAAATATAAAAAAATATTAGTTACATGTTGATACATACTTGTTATTATCAATATTAGTTTTAAAAACAATTAAGCTAAACTCGGGTATTGTCTGTTCCGGGCAATTTTAATTAATTAATTTTAAACATTCTAATTGTTTTTTTATTCAATAAAATATGATTTAAGAAAATTGAGAACGTCTATCGACTTGCTACTTAGACGTGTCTTTTGTTTACTCACAAAATTTTCTGAAATAAAAAATACTCTCATACATGCGACCAAATTATGCTTAATTGTTTTTAAAGCCTAATATAATAATTTTAAGCTTTTTGTTCTTTTATTTGTGGCTCATAGGGTTTAAAACTCTTTTTTTAAGTTTGAGTAGAGGAAGTTACTTTTTCAAAAAGAAGTGATTTAAATTAATATATACCCTGGTATAAAAATCGAAATTAATATATACAAAACCTTTCTGGGAACTATTGCAGACTGATAAGATATCAAATGCTATTGAACCGATATGATTTCCAAAATCAAAATGCTTTATTCTTAATTTATTTGGATATATTTGTCATTTTCCATTTATACAGTAAAAATCGATTTTTTTTACTAAAAAAACGGTTTTCAAATTTCATAATTTTTGCCAAAAAACCGGTTTTTGAAAACCGACAAACTCTAATGTGCACTAATCTAATTTAACAAAAATTTAAATAAAACACAAGAAGTATAAACAAAAATTGGGCATTGGCATCTAAATTTGTCTAACCAAGAGATTTTTATAAAAGTCTGACCAGATTTCAGTTGGATTTATACTTTTCTCATTGGATTCGCGCTTTTTCTTACTGGATTTGTGTCTAATTTTTACCAAAATTGCATTTTCAAGTCCTGAACTTTACAAAATTAGTATGAATGAGACTTACATGATGTAAAATAGTAGTTTTACTTAAAGGTGGATATAGATGGTGCATCTATTGGTGCAATGTTTCCAAAAACAAGTTGTTGGAACCACGATTTATCATCTAAGTTTTCTGATGTGCATTGATCTAATTTAACCAAATGTTTTATAAAACAACGATGACAACAAAAAATATTAATAAAATTTCTTTTGGCATCTAAATTGGTCTAACCAAGATATTTTTATCAGAATTTAACTAGATCCCAAATAGACCTATACTTTTCTTATTAGATTTGTGTCCAATTTTCACCAAAATTGCTCATTGTGCATTTTAAAGTCTGGATTTGGATCAGACTTTACAAAATTAGTATGAATGAGACTTAAATGGTGTAAAATAGCAGTTTTACTCAAAGTCAATATAATAAATCATGTGTTCCATCATTTCATAAACGTTTGTATCATTTGGGAGCAGAAAGTATCAACACTGTGAGCCAAAAAATTTGGTAAACTTTTGGAAGCATTTCTTCTTAATATTTAAATATTAAAATTGCGTTAATTTTTCTGTAAGGTTGCAGAAAAACAAACTATAAGCACTAGAGATTTGATAAAATTGTTATCTAAATTTGTCTAACCAAGAGATTTCTATCAAAATCTGACCAGATTCCAGTTGGATTTATACTTTTCTTATTGGAATCCCGCCTTTTCTTATTGGATTTGTGTCCAATTCTTACCAAAATTGCATTTTCAAGTCCCGAACTTTACAAAATTAGTATGAGTGAGACTTATATGGTGCAAAATAGCAGTTTTACTTAGTCAGTATGATATTTCATGTATTAACACCAAAATTCCTTTGGCATCTAAATTGGTCTAACCAAGAGATTTTTATTAGAATCTGATCAGATTTTAGTTGGATTTATACTTTTCTTATTAGATTCGCGCCTTTTCTTATTGGATTTGTGTCCAATTTTTACCAAAATTGCATTTTCAAGTCCTGAACTTTACAAAATTAGTATGGATGAGACTTACATGGTTTAAAATAGTAGTTTTACTTGAAGTCAATAAAACATTTCATGTGTTTCATCATTTCATCGAAGTTTTTATCATTTGGGAGCAGAAAGCTCCCCAAAAGCACCAAAAAATTTGGTAAACTTTTGAAAGCATTTTTTAAAATATTTCAACAGTTATTTATTAAAACATCTTTACTGTTCAAGTTTTTCTGTGAGGAAGTAGAAAAACTAACTACAAGCACCAGAATTGATGTAATTGGCAACCCAGAATTTTTTTGGATAATCGAAGTATTGTTTCTTTGTGATTATTTTTATGGGTTTTGAGTCTAATATTTGGGTCTAGTTTTTTGGCAATATAAATACTAATCACAAGTCTGAGATTTAAAAAAAAAATATGGACGTTTTGTAAGTGGAAACATCAATATTTCTCTAATATTGGCATTTTTATGAGTTAGGTTTGATGGCTTTAGTTGGATTAGGGCGTCTTTGTTGTATTTTTCAAAGCAAAATAAAGTAGTTGATTGATAAATATTTTAAAAACGTTTTTGTTAGAAACATTACAACTGTGAACCGATTTCGAAATTAGTTGGGAAGTTCTTAACAACTTTAGACGCAATGTTGATACTTCTACTAAAACCACCATTTTTGCAAATTGAAGCCTACAATTTATCATTCCATGGAAAACAACTATTTCTCAAGATTCTTAAAGTATCAACACTGTGGCCAAAAAATTTGGTAAACCTTTTAAATTTAATTTAAACAGTGAACTTTGTAGGAATATCTTTACTGTTCAGGTTTTTTCTGTGAGGAAGTAGAAAAACAAACTGAAGCACCAAAATTGATGAAATTGGCAACCCAGAATTTTAATAGATAATGAAAGTAAAGTAAAGTAGTTTCTTTGTTGATTTTTATGGGTTTGGGTTAAATACTTGGGTCTAATGTCTTTGACAATATAAGCACTAATCACAAGCCTGAGATTCAAAAGAATTGTGAACGTTTTCGAAGTGGAAACATCAATATTTCTCTAATATTGGCATTTTTATGATTTAGGGTTTGATGGAAATGATGATGAAAGCAAAATAAAGTAGTTGATGTCTTTATTGATATTACTAAAATGCATTTATTAAAAAATTTCAACAGTGAACCAATTTAGTTTCCAAAATTACTTTGGATGTTCTAACCATTACTCTTTTGGACGCAATGTTGATACTTCTGCTAAATCTACCATTTTTTTCTAATTGTGAATTAATTGCAAAAGTTTGCAAATTATCATCCCATAAAAACAACTTCCTTTCAAGTTGTTTATCTACATCCTATTTTTTTCCACCACTGCTGCTGCAGGTGTGTATTACGGAAGTTCAACATCTGGTGCAACTATTCAACATCAGGATGTCGACATCAGGATTTATGGATTTATACTTTTAACATCGATTTTAAAATTTGCCATTAAATCATAATGCAATATAAATGTAGCAAATATATTTTATTTATTTATTTTACTAGAAATTTAATTTTTTTTGTAATTTTGTGCACCAATGTTCACTGCCATCGCGACACATATCAAGGAGACCAAAATCATTTTTTAATGGACACTAAATATTATTTTTTTTGATGCACACTTTTTAGTTTTAGACAAGGAATTTTATAAATTGACTCGAAGTTTGTTATAATTTTTTTGTTTTTGGATCGTAAGGTTATTTTTGTTTTTTTTTGGACATTGCACTTTCATATTTTGGATGTTTGCTTAGGAAGCATGTGATGTGATTGTTGGTTGTAGATCTTTTTGGTTTTGTTTAGGAGAATTTATATATATATATATATATATATATATATATATATATATATATAATTCAATATGAATGTTGTATACATGTTTCATAATAGTTTTAGTCTCTAAATTTTTTTTATCAGCTATAATTTCAAAAAATATCGTCTCATTCTTAGAATAGTTTATAATTTTCTACTAAAACCAAAAAATAAGGTTCTACCAAAACCTAATAAGGTTTTAAATTCGATGCCAGTGAAGCTAGTTTTATTTTATGTTTAAATTTATAATTTAAAATATATAAATATTAATAATTTTATTAAGTAAAATAATCCGTTTGAATTGTTTTGTGTGTTACATAAAAAGTGTAAGTATATTTTTTGTGTTTTGTCTAAAAAATTGGGCATGAAAATTGGATGGACCCATATTAGCCAAATGTACTAGTTGTACATTTATTGTTTATATCAGTCATAGTTTTAGAACCTTTGGTTTAATGTGAATGATGTTTGAGGCAATTTTGTTTAGAATTTAATTTTGTACAAATTTTTATAAGAGTCCAAAATTCTAGAGCAACTCGGTGTACTTCAAAA